TATTAATGGTTCCCAACAGCTTATTTGTTAGTAGTGCTATTAAATCTATAGATTGAAGGGCTACGCCCCCCATGCTTTTTCTTCCTATCACTTCACACTCACCAATCACATCCTTTCCTACACTTTAGCATCCAATCAAAAAAAAAAAAAAAAAAGATTCTATCTCTTCCTTCTCTCCCTCTTCTCTGCAACCCAGTGAACGATTCCCAAACCCCACAGATCGAACCTAAAAATACCCCCATTGTACTCCTCTCATCTTCACGAACTCAACCATGTTCTTAAAACCCAGTTTGGATGAGTTTTGACTCGTTAACTCGGAAGGTCCGAACTCAGGCTAACTGAGTTCGACGTGTTTTCAAGAGAGTTGGGACATTTTGAAGCTTGGGTAGACTTCTACACAACCCCACGAAGCTCCTACAACACTTTGATGAAGAAATGACATCGAAACAACCCAATTTCAAAAAGTCACAGTTTGGCCGGAGCTTTCGAGGCAATTTCTGGCCAAACCACGGCGAGTTGGCCGGCATGCGAGTTTCTGACGACCTCCATGGCTTTCGAGGCAATTTTAGGCCAAACCCTAGCGAGTTAGATGTCGGTGCGAGGTACTATTCTCTTCGTCTCTTCTAGAACTACAGCTTTCGTTTTTGAATCACTCAATTTCGTTGAGTATTGACAAAGTTATTAATGTTTAAAGGTTGTTCAGTTTTTTGGCCGAATCCAGCCTTCCCTTCCATTTAGCTCCGGCGAGTAGCAACCCAAACTCAGGCCCTTCGGGCCGTTCTTGCCAAGCCCAAAACCCTGGGCAGCCCAACCTAACCCTTTATTTTATTTTTTTATTATTTGGTTAATTAAAGGCCTTTAGGCCATTTCCTTTTAGAGCTCTAAGCTCATGCATTTTAAACCCTAAACCCTTTTAGTTTAGGCCTTTAGGCCTAGAACCCTTAAGTCCAACCTATTAAACTAACCTAACCTAATAACCCTTAACCCAGATGAAATATTCCGTTAGGGAATCCCATCCGTCTGAGAATATTCTGTCCTTCAGGGAATATTCATCATATTCACTTTTCAGAAATTTAAGTAGGACCCTTCTTAGGGTAATTCGACGTCTTGAATCCGTTTTTTACGTCCGTTTTCCCAAATTCAATTGTTATAATATAGTTTTATTAAATGTACCTTTATGTGCTTAGGAAAAATTATTAGTGGCGTTTCCATCTTCGCTAAGTTGCGTGGCTCGTTAGTGGCGAAGTATCTGTGAGTGGGCAGTTTATTTTATACCAATACATATTGATAATTTCCCTAAATGCATAGTTACTTCACTTTTACACTTATATTGCCAAGTATTCGATATTGTGATATGAAATGTGATAAATGCTGCTATATGGTTGAGATATTATTGTCATGACATTCATACATATTTGTACATGCTCATCTTAATGCACCCCGGTGTTAGTACTCTACCCAGGGCCAGGGCCAGTTGTCACATCTCAGCCCAGGGTCCACTATGTCCCACGCTCGCTCCACCACCTTAACACGATTTTGTCTACTTTGGGCCTCGACCACGCCCTCACGGTTTTGTTTCTGGGAACTCACACGAGAACTTCCCAGTGGGTCACCCATCATGGGAGTGGTCTCGTGCACTACTCGCTTAACTTCGGAGTTCTGGTGGAACCCGAAGCTAGTGAGCTCCCGAAAGGCCTCGTGCTAGGTAGGGATGATAATATACATTTAAGGATCACTCCCTTAGGCGATATGAGATGTTACACCAGTCCTTTACATGTATGTTCACATCCGCACCATTCGCTTGCCTTGGATCCAAGTTAGGTGCCAGTCCTGTCGGGTAGATTGCATTAGGCAATCCGACTTGTACGTGACCATGCTTTTGCACCAGTCTTCGTGTGATCGTATTACTAGAGTGCCTTGATTACACTCAGTCTTGTCGGGTAGAATTGCCTTAGGCAGTTTCGACTCGTGTGCTAGCTTAGATGATGAGCAAACTACTTATAATTGATTATCACATGATTATATTACTTTGGCATTTGATATATCATGACTTGGCATATTTCTGGTTATATTACTATTATATTTGATTACATACTTACGTAGTATGTTTTAAGGAAACTATACTTGTTTTACGGCGAGGGGTTAGTATATTAAAAAATAAAGGTTTTCGTATAAGCATTGTTTTACTGACCCACTCAACTTTGTTTTTCGCCCCTCCAGATTTAGTAGCTGTGTTTACACGTATACGAGGATTCTGGCAAATCTCAGGAGATGGTTACCTTCAGTGGTATAACCCTCATCCTATTTGCTATACTGTCTTATGCAATGACATCACGTGTGAAAAGGGTTCAATCCCGCTCACCCGCGCATTTTTTTGATTAGGCACTTTTAGGTTTAATTTATTCACTTTTTCCACATCACTACACTTTATGGCTTTGTCACCTTACAGGTGTCGGCCAGCACAACTCGATTCGAAGTCCAAGTAGACATTCCGGGTTGAGGTGTGTCAATACTTGTCTCTATTTCACAAACATAATGAACAACATTGACTATTGTGCTAGTAATAAGAACTTAAAATATATTGAGTTTTTGCTAATTAGTTATACATTTTCGTTGTGCTTGGGTGAAGTGACTCAAGTGGAAAAATATTTTCAAATATTTTGCTCAACAATAAAATAGACTAGCACACCACCATGGCCATACTAGTTTCTATTTCACGAACATAATGAACTACGCTGGCTATTGTGCTAGTAATAAGAACTTAAAATGTATTGAGTTTTTGCTACTTAGTTATACATTTTCGTTGTGCCTGGGTGAAGTGACTCAAGTGGAAAAATATTTTCAAACATTTTGCTCAACAATAAAGTAGACTAGCACACCACCATGGCCATACTAGTCTCTATTTCATAAACATAATGGACAGTGCTGACTACTGTGCTAGTAATAAGCACTTAAAAGGTATTGGATTTCTACCACTTAGTATTAAAGTCTAATTCAATAGTTGTACACTTTTCGTTGTGCTTGGGTGAAGTGACTTGAGTGGAAAAATATTTTCAAATATTTTCATTAAAATAGATTAGCACACCACCATGGCCATACTAGTCTCTATTTCACAAATATAATGAACTGTGTTGACAACTGTGCTAGAAATAAGCACTTAAAAGTTATTGGGTTTCTGCCACTTAGTATTATGGTCTAATTTAATAGTTATACACTTTTTCGTTGTGTTTGGGTGAAGTGACTCGAGGGAAAAATATTTTCAAGTATTTTCCTCAACAGTAAAGTAGACTAGCACACCACCATGGCCATACTAGTCTGTATTTCACAAAAATATTGAATTGTGCTAGTAATAAGAACTTAAAAGGTATTGGGTTTTTGCTACTTAGTATTACGATCCAATTCTAGTTATACAGTTTCGATGTGCTTGGGTAAAATGACTAGAGCGGAAAAATGTTTTCAAGTATTTTCCTTAACAGTAAAATAGACTAGCAAACCACCATGAATACTAGCCTCTATTTCACAAACATAATGATATGCAACAATAACCTCTTTAGTTACTCCAGTTTTAGAATTAAGCAAAAATTTAGGAGGACAAACAGTCGTATCATTAGATGATCAAAGAGCTTCTAACCCTTCAATACAGACTTAACTAAAATAGTCACTTAGTGTAGTTATGATCACCAAGTTTAATCGTCAACATACTCGACAACCCTTCAATTTTAACAAATGTAGAAACCATTATCTACTTCAAAATATCGAAATTCAAGAACCTAGAAAAAGAAAAGCCAGAAAAGGCAATCGAACAAGAAAACACTAGTGACTACAATCTAATCAATGAAATCACTGGTTTGGCCTTTTGAATTTCAATCGAACACTAAACTAATAGCTTTTGGCCTTTCACAACATCAGCTAACATTCAACATCATCAAGATTTAGAGAAATGGCATTGGCCTTCACACAATCAAGAACTTGGATATACTAACAATAAAAAACATCAAGGTGAAACCAATCTTGTAAGAAAGAACCCAAATTGAACAAGAAACAGTTCAAATTACTTCAAGAGAAAATTATCTTTTGCAGAATTTCAAACACTGAACCTAAGATTTCACCCGATTTCACCTTTTCACCATAGATCGATGAAAAAGTAGCACAAATTGCATAAAGCATGATGAATTTTGCCCAGTTCAATTTGTCACCCTAAAAAAATCTACCAAGAGTTGAAAGCTGGGGCCCACAGTAGATCGCAGGCTCAAACTATCATAACACTATTGAATTAGAGTAGTAAATTTAGGCAATCTCCAACCGAAGAAGGGCAAGAGGGCTCGTTTTAGCCTTTTGGCTCTCCAAGAAATTAATATTTTAATGAACAGTGCATGGACATATTTCTTACCATCTTTAATCAAGGGGCCAGAGGACCATAGACCAAACATAACCTTGTGACAAAAAACCATATCCAACCGAGGGCCAAAGGGCCATAAGGCCAAACATAACTTATTATTTAAATTTAAAAACTACAACAACTTAAATTTAAAAACTACAAATTAAATTTAAAAACTACAATAACTTAAATTTATAGGAAAAATGAGAAATTTTCAATATATTTTTTTTAAATTTGGCCGAAAAAAATAAATTCAAATACAACAGTAACTGACGTCAGCTAGCCATTGGATTTGAATTTCTTTGGGCTATAAATAAGGTGGATATTGGGCTATAATTCACACACCTTTGAATTCAATCTCTTTCAATTCAAGTTTGCAATGAATTCCAACTTTGGATCCTCTTCGGATTCCAACAGGTGGTCCTTATCCAATTTCGAATTGGAAGAAAAATGGGCGCATATGAGACGAGAAGATGAGGAGTCTGATGAAGAAGATGAAGCATGGCACAACACACAATATGTGGCAGCCATGGCTATGGTCATGGTGTGTCAGCCAACTGAGGAACAACCTCAATGGGGTGGCTCTGTTCTTGGTCGCTCTTACAAACCACGAAATAGAGCAATGATGTATGCCAATCTGATGAACAACTACTTCAACCCCAACTCGGTATACACAGAAAAAGATTTCAAACGTCGTTTTCGGATGATGCGTCATGTCTTCGAGCGTTTACTTTATGATGTTCAGCAAGTCAATCCATACTTTCGACATAGGCTGGGCAAAGCAAGCCACCCTGGTTTCTCAACTCATCAGAAGGTTACTGTTGCACTACGAATGATAGCCTATGGCTCCCTAGCTGATTCGATGGATGAAACATATGGTATGTCTGAGTCTACATGCCTTGATACTCTTGCTGAATATTGTAACACAATTGTTCAGCTTTACAAAGAGGAGTATATCTGCGAGCTAAATCAAGAAGATATGGATCAGCTCATTCGCAAAGTTGAAGACCGTGAGTTTTCGGGCATGATAGGGTCATTAGACTGTATGCATTGGACTTGGAAGAACTGTCTCACCGGATGACAATGAGGCTTTAACGGAAGGTCGAGAAAGCCAACTGTTGTGTTAGAAGCGGTTGCTTCATATGACACATAGATCTGACATGCTTTCTTTGGAGTCCCTGGATCCCAAAATGACGTTATAGTTCTTGGGCCTTCACCCATCTTCAATAACCTGACGAAAGGGAAATCACCTCAACTTGACTACTACATCAACGACCGTCCGTACAATATGGGGTATTACTTGGCAGATGACATGTACCCAAAGTGGGCGACACTTGTCCAAGCAATTCCAAACCATGAGAATGACACCAAAAAATGGTTTACCTTACACCAAGAGGCATACCTGAAAGATTTTGAGAGAGCTTTTGGTATTCCACAAGCATGGTGAAAGATCATTAAGGAACCAGCAAGAGGGTGGAGTTGAGAAAATTTGGACTCCATCATGATGTCTTGCATCATATTACACAGTATGATTGTGGATGATGAGTGAGATGGGTATATTGATGGAGAGCCTGATGATGACCAAGAGGATCCAATTTGCCTTTGAATCCACGAACTAGTAATATCTCTTTAAATGAGTATATGAGGTGATATAGGATGATACGTTCCCGTGCCACAAACAAGTACCGACAATAGGATCTTGTTGCACATCTTTGGGCCAAAAGAAGTATGGAGTAGGCGTTTAAGTTTTATGTTGTTAAAAACGTTGTTTAAGTTTCATGTTGTTAAATGTTTTTTATATGTTGTATAATTTTTATGTTGTTTAATGTTATTTAATGTTGTTTAATATTGTTTAATGTTGTTTCATGTGACTTAATGTTATTTAATGTTGTTTAATGGCTTAGGAAGTGATAGGAAAAAAAATATATAATTTTTAATTTTAAAAAAAAATTGTAAAAAAAAATCAAATATAACGGCTAGCTGACGTTAGCTAGTTGCCGTTGTATTCAAAATCTAGCTTGACCTGAGGCTGGCTGGGTTGGGCCAGCCGGTTGGCCCTTTGGCCTTTTTTTGGCCTAACCCTCGATTGGAGACGAATTTCGGGCTATTTTCAGTTGGAGATGGCCTTATAGTTCTGTAGAAGAATTATGAATTGCAGAAGAAGAAAGCAATAGAGAGTGATACAGTTGAATCACAATGGTTTCCTTCTCCTAGTTCGCATGACATAGCCCTTGTGATCCCAAGTCTATTGCTCTGCTCCCTATGTCCCTGGGCCCACCTGTTAAGAAAGCTCATGTCAACTTATCTCCAAACTTTAGCAGAACCCTCTGGCTTTCCAACAATAAAGGTAGATTCAACAAACAGAAAACCAAGTCTAGGGTTAATCGTGGTTAATCGAGGGATTTAGCTTACACAAAAAATGATATCTCTCTAGAGAATTTGAGTGATCTTATCATAAGCCCCTCTAAGGAAATGCTAAACATGCAGGCTAGTTGGAAAGATCGAAAGGTCTGGGTAAAGGCAAAATTCAAATGGCAACAGCTAAGATCCTTCAGCCCCGCTAACAACCATGATCACGTTATTTTGGAACTGTCGGGGGCTTGGGAACCACCGTATAGTTCAAGCGCTGCGTGTTTTGCTGCAGCTTCAAGATCTTAATGTTGTATTTCTCTCTTAAATAAAATGCAGTGCTTTAGATTTAGATTCGGTAAAATTCAAGCTGGGTTTTGATTATGCTTTCGGGGTCAATTCTTTGGGACAATCTGGGGCCTTAGTCAACTATGGCGCTCGGAGATCCTACTCTGTGTAATTTCCTCTTCATAATTTCACATTGACTCTAAATTGGGGGTATTGGTGATGCGGTCCATTGACGTTTAACCGGATTCTACGGACACCCTTCTCCCTTTGGGTGTGTTCAATCTTGGTAACTTCTCTGTTCTCTTGCTGCTTCCTCCCTGCTCACATGGCTTTGCAGTGGATATTTTAACGAGATACTTCGTTTGGAGGAAAAGGAAGGGGGAATCTTCGTCCAATGGGCCAAATTTTAGATTTTTGGGAGGCCATCTCTGACTGTAATATGCGGGACTTGAGGCTTCTTCGGGGAAAAATTCACATGGATGACCTCTCGAAATGGAGGAATCAAAGAACGTCTAGATCGTTTATTTGCCTGCACAAAATGGCACTTTCGATTCCCCCATTCGTGTGTCACTCATCTCAAGCCTAGCAAGTCTGACCACATCTTCATTTTAGTTAAGATTCATGACGTCCCCTGAGAAATGTTGGACAAAGAATGAGGATTGCCAAGAGATTATTCATAGAGCCTGGTCACATACCTCTGTGTCACCGAAAAAATTAAGGTCATTCGCGTTGCCCTTCTCAAGTGGAAGCAGAAGACCTTTAATTCTCGCTTAACTGCTATTAATGAGGTTCGTAATCGACTTGGTTTTATCCTTGCTCATAACAAAAAAAGGTATTTTGAGGCAACGCTCGCGGGTTTTACGGTTGAAGGACAGCGATTGAAACTCCAAGTTTTTCCATCAAAGTGCAAATGCCAGAAAATCAAATAACCGAATTGTTAAACTCTGGGATGATCAGGGAGATGACATTTGAATCTGAGTGGGATTGAATTTGTGGTGACTAATTACTTGTTTGATATTTTCTCCACTCGTGATCGGAACTCTCAGGTCATCGTGGATGTTGTGGACCGTAAAATCTCAGAAGATATGAATTGTGATTTAACTCCCCCTTCATCATGGAAGAGGTGAAAAATGCCATTTTCTAGATGCAACCGTCCACTTCTCTAGGGCAGGACGACATGTCACCATTGTTTTTTCCATAAATATTGGGCGATTGTTGGAGTTAACGTATCCACTGCCATTATATTCTTTCTGGAATCTGGTTGGATCATTCGCAAGATCAATTTTACTCATATAACCGTGATTCCCAAACAGTTTCTGCCTTCCGAGATGTCCCATCTCTGGCCTATTAGTTTATGCATTGTGCTTTAGAAGATTGCATCAAAGATGTTGGTGAACCGCATGAAAGCTACTATGCCGAGCATCATCTCGCTAAACCAAAGTGCCTTTATTTCTAATCACCTTATTTCAAACAATACCATTCTACTAAGGTTGGCCAGACTCTGTTTAAATGAAAAAGAGGGAAGAAAGGGCAAATAGTTAATAAACTTGATATGAGCAAAGCGTACAATCACATCAAGTAGGGCTACTTGAACATGATCCTCACAAAATTGGGCTTCTCCGTTCGTTGGGTAAATCCTCTCATGCAATGTGTTTCCTCGGCCACCTACTCTATCATTGTGAATGGCTTTCCATGTGGCTACCTCCTCCCCTCTCATGGTATCCGCGAGGGACACCCCCTCTCACCCTATTTATTCCTCCTCTGTGCCGAAGGAATTTCTACACTCATTGATCAATGACACATGAATGGTGCCATTTTGAGGATCTCCATCTATTGTAGCACGCTACCAATCCACCACCTTATTTTTGTAAACAACTGCCTCTTATTCAATCGAGCCATTAAGGATGACTGCTCCGAGATTAAGTCAATTATGAACTTTTATGAGGGGGGCCTCGGGGCAGTGACCACCTACCTAAATATTTTTATGATGGGCTCAACAAAATGGTGGTCAAATTTTGGTGGAATGGTGTGGACGACGCTTGAAAGATTCAATGGATATCTTGGGATTGACTTTGTACTCTGAAAAACGAGGGTGGCTTAGGTTTCAGGAACCTCTATTCTTTCAACCACCTACTCTATCATTGTGAATGGCTTTCCATGTGGCTACCTTCTCCCTTCTCATGGTATCCACCGGGGACACCCCCTCTCACCCTATTTATTCCTCCTCTGTGCCGAAGGAATTTCTACACTCATTGCTCAATGACACATGAATGGTGCCATTCTGAGGATCTCCATCTATTGTAGCACGCTACCAATCCACCACATTATTTTTGTAAACAACTGCCTCTTATTCAACCGAGACATTAAGGATGACTGCTACGAGATTAAGTCAATTATGAACTTTTATGAGGGGGGCCTCGGGGCAGTGACCACCTACCTAAATATTTTTATGATGGGCTCAACAAAATGGTGGTCAAATTTTGGTGGAACGATGTGGACGACGCTTGAAAGATTCAATAGATCTCTTGGGATTGACTTTGTACTCTGAAAAACGAGGGTGGCTTAGGTTTCAGGAACCTCTATTCTTTCAACCTTAGTCTATATGCTCAATTTTGACAAAATTGGGCTTCTCCGTTCATTGGGTAAATCCTCTCATGCAATGTGTTTCCTCGGCCACCTACTCTATCATTGTGAATGGCTTTCCATGTGGTTACCTCCTCCCCTCTCATGGTATCCGCCAGGGACACCCCCTCTCACCCTATTTATTCCTCCTCTATGCCGAAGGAATTTCTACACTTATTGATCAATGACACATGAATGGTGCCATTATGAGGATCTCCATCCATTGTAGCACGCTACTAATCCACCACCTTATTTTTGTAAACAATTGCCTCTTATTCAACCGCCATTAAGGATGACTGCTCCGAGATTAAGTCAATTATGAACTTTTATGAGGGGGCCTCGGGGCAGTGACCACCTATCTAAGAGCGCCGTTTACTTTAGTCAAAACATTTCACGAGGAGATCATGATCATTTGGCTGGCATTCTCAGCATCGACCGGGTCTATAGGCATGTGTATTTGGGCCTCCCAACACAGGTGAGACATAATTAGGGGGCATGTTTCGGTCATATCAAGGAACGATTGTGGAAACGCCTTTAGAGTTATAAATGTAAACTCTTAAGTTCGGCTGAAGAAACTATTGATCAAAGTTGTTGCTCAAGCCATTCCCTTATACACCATGAATTGTTTCCTTCTACCTAAATATTTTTGTGATGGGCTCAACAAAATGGTGGTCAAATTTTGGTGGAACGGTGTGGACGACGCTTGAAAGATTCAATGGATCTCTTGGGATTGACTTTGTACTCTGAAAAACGAAGGTGGCTTAGGTTTCAGGAACCTCTATTCTTTCAACCTTACTCTATTGACTAAACAGCGTTGAAGGC